ATTTTTATGTTACATAAGTTATTAAGTTATTACGTACATTCAAATTCTTATTTTTGAAATGTTTAAATGTAGTAAAATAGTATATTTTTGAATACTTAGATTTTTCACAACATTTAAATAGTTTCTTGTGGTGATACCATCATTGGTTTTTCAAAAGAGGCTATTACATATGTTTACCTATACAAATTGTGAATCAGATGATTTTTTGCATATTGTAATTAATATTTTAATGAAAAGGTTTTTGAGTTATTATTTTTAGCAGAAAGAAAGAGTCGTTTTTCAACATTCTGTTATGTGGTTTTAGTACTCGGTAGTGCCAAACTTGCAAAAACTCGCGGAGCACATCATTTTAGAGAAGGATCTTGCGACATACCACTTGAAAATATTTAAATTATCGAAGTCTGCTGTTAGAAGAATAGAATATTTTACATTATTACTATTTAGTATCTAAAACTCTTTGACATGGGTTAAATTGTGTAATTAAAAAAAAAATAGGTATGTTTTATGAGAATTGGAAGCCATAATGCATTTTAGGGTAGTGTATTAAAATTAAAATATTCAACATATTATACGGAATGTGTCAGTGTCACAATTTTTATAATATAATCAACTGTGCATAGAATCTAGATGCGTTCGGAACCCATCGTGGTAGTCACCAGTTGATAGTCGCCACTCGGTATAGACACTCTTCTCGTTTCGGACAAGATTTTAACACATTTCCAATGTAGAGATTTATTTAATTATTTTGAACACAGGCCAAAGCCCAACATAAAGTTGTAATTAAGTACAATTCATAAAACTACTTAAGTCTGAGGACTTAGACAATAACTATACAATTAATAACAATGAAATATACTATGTAAGCAACACAAATTATTTTTAAAAACAAAAAATAAAATGGATCTTTATTAAGTGGATCTTTATTTGCAAGGCTCATAAAGGAGTTTGACAAATAATTTGAAAACGAGGACCTCAGGATAGACGATTTATGTTGTAATAGCACCGCGAATATCATCTTTTTTTCCACCCTGACAACATTAATGCAAAAAATATTAGTTTCAACTTATACATTTTTTTTTTAAAATATTATATACACAATCTGTACCTCATGGGTACAATAAGAGTATTAGCTGAGATAATATAATACATGAAAAGGCTTGATAAAAGCAGCCACCCAGTGATGACACTTAAATATTGAGGTTATACATTAATTTATAAATATATATATGAATTTATTTATTTATCTGTTTTTTATATTATAATATTGAGTTGGCATATCTCTACACCAGTTGCGTTTTAAAAACCATGGAGGATTACCTGGAGTCCCGGAATAACATTTGCTGAAAGACCTTTAATTAAAGTATTGAGATGAGATGCAAGCCGATTATGAAATATTTTATAATTAGTGACTGCTTCTTCTTTAACAGATTTGATTTTCAGGTCCGTGCGAAGAGTATGATTTGATAATAACTTAAATAATAAAACATTATAGTACTAAGTAAATACTAGGTAAATATCATACCTTTTTAAAATCCATGTATTTTGATTAATATTTTTCGTTCGTGAACAATATAGGTAGATAATAATTATCTTATTAGGTATCTATTAAGAATGAGATTTTACAAAGATTTTAAATATAGTTTAAAATTTAATAAAATGTTTAAACACGTTATAGGTATAGTATTGAAATCAAAAACCTTACGTCTTAGTGCCTTACATTTGTATCATTACTCTTGGTAAATTGTTTTAAATAATTGTATATTATCATAAAATGCTAAAAAATACAATTTTGTAACAATAAGTTTAGATGATCATTGTCAGGAAAACTTTAAGACAAAAGTATAAAAATGTGCCTCACTCGTTACACCCATAAATATTATACTACTGGATTAGAACTGTGTATAACAACAGCATTACGAACGGCGCACAAAATATCGACATAGGCTGTTTTAGACGACAAGCGTGGATATTTACAAAAGTTATTGCAGAGTTTAGGTTTAGACAGAACACATTTGACATTATCTTACGTGCATTAAGAACATTATCTAATATATATTTTACTATTAGAAATATTTTTGTAAAAATTGTGACATAACTATTAATGATTGTAACATTTATTAATAACAATTGTAACATTAATTTACTATAAAATAGACCTATGCATACGATACCGTATATTACCGTGCATGCGATTAAACGAACAAACAAAAAGCTCCCTCTTTGTTGTTACACTTAATATAATATCTACAACTAATTATATTTCAAATCATTATTGACTACCTATAGAGTATAATATACTATTATCATGTTACATTTACTAGAAAACCCACCAGCTACCATCCTAACCCTCTATTTAAGATAAAATTCAGAGACAGTTGCCTCTGAAATTACCATTCACGAAGCCACTGTTTACACCATACCTACACAACCAGTCAGCCGGCGGCAAGGAGTACGTAAAGTGGGCTGTTAACAACGAACACCTTAATATAGTGACCATACAGATCTATTAATGAGCAACAAAATAAATAGGTTGCACGAGGAACTTATTATGTAAGTGCTCTACCAATTTAAATTTTTGAATCAGCTTGTATTTTTTATATTTCATAACAGTTTTAGATCATATTTTGACAAGACTAAAAAATTACTGCACATATTTTATGGTCAACTAAAACTAAATTGATATCCCCTATAGCAGTGCGTCGGTGGCAATTCCCAAGTAAATTTGCATACGGCTGGTTTATAAATGATTGGAAATAACTAAGTGATTTGGACACTGAAATAATATTGTTTACCTGCCAGTTTTCATTTTGTGAAATGATAAATGGAGAATTTTTACAACTTTAGACTTGCGTGGTCTGGACGGTCCGGTCTGAAATGCAGCTTTGCAAAATATGGTCACCAATTTTACTTTTAGCACGGCTGGAATAATGACTGAGAACAAGATTTAAAAATTAAAAGACTTATATGTTTTAACAGTAAAACCGGCTTTTTTTTATTACACTTTTTATTTAATATTGTGTAGTAGTGTGTACAGTGTGTTGTGTATCAGAAAAACCTGACATATTAAAACGAAAAATTTTAAAATTTTAATTTACAATTCTAAAACAATAAATTGTATACTTTACTTATAGCGCAAGTATCCATCAATAAAATATATGAAAAAAAGGTATTTTTAAATATTGATAAGAATTAAGTTATTTAATTCATCAGTTCATTAATATTACACACTTACACTTTGTATAATTATAATAATAATACATATTATTCTTAGAACAAATCTAGTTTAGCCCACACACTAATTTTAAAATTTTTTTTTTTGAAACCTATGTATTTCAATGAGTTTAGAACGATGGTGCAAAAATTAATTGGCGGAAACCATTTTTTTGAGTTAAAGCCTTACAAAGTTCACAATTCTCGTTGTTTTTTGCATATAGGTACCCACAACGCTCTATTTCACAGCGCATATAACGAATTTTTCAATGATTTTTTTAAAAACTCTGTAAATCAACGTTTTAAAAACGACGGTGTGAAATAAATTATTGGAAATCAATAGTTTTTAGGAATAGGTCACAAGGTGAGAACAATTTCACTATTAGTATATACTATATAATATAGTATTGCGTAGTGACTCCCTTCGCCTAACGCCTCCGGTTGCCCAACTAGAGGTCCTTCCAACCTGGAGTTAGAAGGGGGTTTTAGCCCCCCCCCCAAAAAAAAAGAAACTGAACCCCCAGGGGCTAAAATAGCCAACCTAGGGGGGATATGCACCCGCCCTTCGAGCAGACAAATAACCTAACACGTAAACTTAACGTTGTTAATTTAAGTAACAAGTATAGTGGCTCAAGGGACCTCACTTCGCCTGCCGGCACGGTCACCATAGTAATATAGTATAAGAAATAAGAATTATTATCAACACGAACGCCATACGTACCATACGCGTGGCTGTGAGAGAGGCCTAAGAATAAATGTATGATATGCGTGACGTCGCCTTGTATTTATTGTTGGTTGCCTACATAAATTTATAAATTATGCATTGCCCCTTATAAAAATATGCGCAGACTTAGCGCAGTATTATCATTGAGCATACTTCTTATTCCTTATAGTTTATACTATGCTCCGCGAGACATTAAAGTAGTATTCCTCGCAGGTTATTTTACGTTTTAACGTAAAATCGCAAACTTTGGAAAGCTACGACTATTGCTCCATAGTTCTTAACTCGTTGTATTACATAGGTTTCCAAAAAAACTCGCTTGGGGGCTAAACTATATTTATGCTTTATTCTTCTATTTAATTGTTATTCTTAAAACTCAATATATGTAAGAATATCAAACTTTAAGGGCATAGTCATAGACTATAATGCGGAGAATAGCAAGGGGTTGCAATTATCATTGCCCCGTGAGGTGCGAAATGTCTTAATCCAGCCCTGTCTATAAAGATCTTATATGGGTGCAATGTGCTACAATATATAATATACCTATGACAAAATGTATTTATTTTTGTAAATTTGTTTTGTCAGGCATTGACCTAACAAGATCTAATAGTAAATTTTAGCCATGGTTATAAGTTATTACTGATTGAACTAGGTACCTATTTACTTATTATGGGCTCCTCCCTCCACAAGCATTTCCTTAATATGTCTAAGCTAATTCGATATTATTTTATGTACCTAGTAAGTAGTAGGTCTTCACCCTCCCTCCAAAATCTTAAAAGTTATTTATTTTGTTCCTGTACTTTAAGGAGTGTGAGGAATATTAGAATTCAACAACTCGAACTCTGCAGCAATCTGCTACTGCAGCTGCCGCACAAAGATAAAATTACTTTATGAGCCTGCTGCCGCTGCGGAATGATTCACATTGATCATTGCCAAATTACAAACCATGAAACAACTTTCGGATTGAGAACTAAATTTATACATTATTTGGCTACACTGTTTTTTTTATCAAACTATTATTCAAATTAAAAATTTGATGTTGTTCAATATAAATTGTTCAGTCTAAGACCGTGGTTTATCATATTATTATATCAGGATAGTAATCATATTGTAGTCGGTTGTGCTTGTGAGTCGTTGTAGGCTGTAGAGCACTTAGGTAGTAGATACCTATCGGCCAATTGGATAATAACATTTACCCCAATTGTACTAGTTTAATAAAATTTCTTATTGGCATAGACTACTATTATAGTATTAATATTTCATATTCCAAATTACTTTAAATCCATGTTAATGTAGTCATTTAATTACAATTTATTGCATCAAAACTTATTTTGAAATTTTAAACTATTATTTTTATTAAATACACAGCATAATTTTCAGAACTTGATGCACATTAATGAATATTTTTAATTTATAATTCGTACATCAACAATTATTAATTTATTTTTGAACATTATATTTTCATTAAGAAACTTATAATGTCTCTAGAAACTGTTGAACATGCTTTAGCTGAATTCTATTGCAATCAAAATGTTGAAGTTCATAAAATTTTGTTAGATTTCCAAAACTCTGTAGATGCCTGGAACCTTGTTTGGAATATGTTAGATACATCTAAAGTAAGTAGTAACAGTGTTTGCCTTATATGATAACTATTCAATTGCAAGAAATTATTTTAATATCTTATTTTAGCCTCATGAAATACAATTTTTTGGTGCCACTACACTTCATATTAAAATTACCAAACAATGGTCACAATTGAAACGATCTGATTATGTGCTTCTTAGAGATAAAATATTGGATACCCTAATTATATACTACAATTCTACAGGACCGTCGAATGTAATAAATAAGCTATGTTACTGTGTAAGGAATTATTATTAATAAATAGTAAATTTATATTTTTATTTATAGTAATACAATACATTTTGTCACTATTATGATTTGTTATTGACCTATAAAAAATGCATTTAGGAGTTAGTAATATTCCCCCCTTTCTATAATTACTAACTAGTATAATTAAACATTGTTTTTAGCTTTGTGCATATGTAGTCCGTACAGTACCGAATCATTGGCCAGATGCAATTCCACAACTGATGGAAACATTTAGAAATTCTCTGTCTCAATCATCAATAAATGTCAGCGTTATGATTTTAGAAATACTAATGGCTTTACCAGACGAGGTAAGATTTTTATAAATTTTTTCAAATTAGATAATTATGATTAAACTTATTATTTTTTAGTTTGGTGCAACAACATTAATTCAAACACGACGGAATGAAGTAAGGAGAGAACTTCAACAGTCTTCTTTACAAGGTAAATTGTTGTAATTTTAATTTTAAAATTATATTGTTTATCAGTATTTAAATATGAACATATTATGTACAATGTGATCACGATAAGTGGAAACACTCAATAACTCAGCATATATTCATCTTGTGGGACCCTATCTTGTTGAAATATTAACTGGTAAAAATGGTTAACTATTGGTACCATATTTCTTTAAAGAGACACTGTGTGGTAATCAATTTAATGAATTTTTGATAAATTGGCTCTCGGCTATGTTAGATGGCCTTCCATTAGATATAAGGGAAAATTCAATATTTCAACAAGCTGAGACCCCAGCCCATAATGCAAATATTGTTCGAAACTACCTCAATGAACATTTTCCAAATCAATAAATAAGGATATACAAAGGAGTTCAGTGAATGCTAAGGTCACTGAATCTAACACTATTGGATTATTTCCTCTGAGGTCTAAAACAGTGGTGTATGCTGATCCAACTACGTTTTTTTTATTTAAAAAAAAAAATAGCTGCAGTATGTTATCAAGTTACCGTAGAACAAATTATGTATCCTACTAATTGTGAATTTGTATTAAACGTAGAATGTTGTTTATAGCACAATGATGCACAATTTAAAACATTTTTAAGATAATAAAGATTTTACGGATATGTATATTAATTTTTTTTAATTTCTTAGAAAAAGTAATAATAAATAATAACTTACCATTAAGTGCCGCGATTGCTATAACTCAGCGATTTTTAACTTAAAAACTTAATTCAACTAGATACTGAAATTCGTTAAAAAGCATAGAGAAAAATAATTTGTGGTCAAAGATGGAGGGCCATACCATTGAAAAAAAAAATTTGTAAGTGTGCCCAAATTTAAGTGTCAAAAATAGTTTGATCATTTGAAAATGTGCATAATTATGTTAATTAGTTAGCCCAAAAAATAGAACTCCAATAAATTGAGTATATGCTCAATTATTAAGTGTTTCCACTTATTGTGATCACACTGTATACTATATAATATATTTCACTATATTTATATTTCTACATTTTATTTCTAACTGTTTACAAATATTTATTTAGTTTTATCTATTGTGGATAGTATTCTTCAGAGTGACAGTTTGGACCCAATCGTAGTGCATGCATTAAAATGTGCTGCATCTTGGTTAGATATAGGTTTTGATCTTATCAAATGTCATCAACTCACGGATACATTTATATCTGTAATTTTAAACCCTGAAAGAAGTCAAGCGTACGTTTTTTAATATATCAAATACAATTATGAATATTACAAATAATATTATAATTTAATTTATATTGATTCACTTTAGATGTGTTTTATTAGCTATTGATGCTTTAAAATCATTATGTACACACCCTCGTACATCTGTATGTGAGGCAACTGTATTTGAAGTTTTAAGTAAAGTGATAATATTATCTGATAAATTATTTCATTTAGAAATTACAGAAGAGCCGGTAAGTAAATCAATTATTATTTATAAGCTAATCAATGAACCATAACAATGATTTTTTATTTATAGAATGTTGTAGTAGATAAACTTTTTGATCTATTTTTGGGTATTGGTGATCAACATTTTCGCCCAATAGTCCAAGGCCTCCTAAATGATAATACCAGAGAACTATGTACAAAATTTTTTAATTTATATTTAACTTGTACAAATGCACCTGGATATTATCCTGTAAATGAAAATTATAGCGAGAAGACATTTACATTTTGGTTTTTATTACAAGTAAATTTACTTTTGCCGTATTTAATGATATTTATTTTAAAAATTTATTTTAATTTTAGGATGATTTGTTATCAAATGATGCCGGTCCAGATAATACATTACTAACTATTGTTAAGCCATTATATATATCTTTAACTCAAGTCCTATTAAAAAAAGTTGCTTACCCTGAAAATTTAGAATCGTGGACTCCAGATGAAAGAGAATTATTTCGATGTTATAGACAAGATATATCTGATACCTTTGTATGTATTTTTATTATACTTATTACATATTAGTTATTAAATTATGTATTAAACAATAGCATATTAAAAGTACATGAATATTATTTATAAGATAAGTGCAACAGTTAGCTGTAAGCAGTTTTGTTCAATTTTATGCTTTAAAAAAACCCCTAAATTCTAACTGACAATATTTTTGCATATTTTGTACTTTTTCCTATATTCATGTTTACTATTGATTTATAATAACATTTCAAGTATTTGCCTACATTTACCCTAACCATTTTTTTTATATTATATAATATAAGTATATGTAATACATTTAAATGAAATAAACTTCAAATACTGTTTCAGACTTATTGTTACTTCATCTTACAGTCTGAGATGTTAGATGTGCTGTTAACAATCTACAAACAAGTAACATGTGACCGTGAAACAGCAATTGCTCAATGGCAAACAGTTGAGGCATGTTTATATGCTTTTACTGCAATTGCAGAACCTCTTCAAAACCACGACTCTCATCCTCATATACAACAATTAATGTCGTCCCTAGGTTCATTACCATATGAACAAATAGATCAAAAAGCTGCCGTAGCTGCAATGGATACTATTGGTATACAAAATATTGAAATTATATTATTGCTTATAGATGTATTTATATAAAATATTATATTATAATATTTTTTAGGAGCATATTATTATTGGATGGAAACGAATCCGTCCTATTTAGATTTAATTGTACCTCTACTAATGATGGGTCTTCATAATAGTAATATGTTTTCCTCAGCATCTATTGCTCTCAGAGATATAGCTAAAGAATGTAGACAATCCATAGCTCCTTACAATGATGTTATACTAAATACTGCAATGGTAAGAGTTTTATTATAATCTTAATGTTATTCTATAATAGTTTTAATTTTTAAAATATTTTTAGATTGCATTAAAACAAGTAAAGAAACTAAAAGAAGAACTACGTTTAATGTACACTATTGGAGTTATTTTGTCAGCTATGCCATTTCCAAAGTGTAAACCATCTTTGGATATGTTCATTAACCCTAGTTTGGAAGTTATAACGAGTATATTGGCTATTGAGGTTAATTTATATTTTATTATTCAGTATTTCAATAGTTTATTTATATGTATTTACTTTATATAGGAAAATGCTGAATTTATTAAAAATAGATCAGTGCTCCAAAATAGAATTAGAGTTCTTAGTTCATTAGTATCAGCAATTGATCAGAAACATACAGTCTACCACATAATAGAAACAACTACTCCTCTACTGCATATGGCAGCAATGAAATATTTCATTTCTTCTCCTGAAGATATGTTATATGCTGTAAGTTTATTGTTTTGTTAAGTAAGATTTTTTAGTTGATGTATTTACACATCAAATTTGTTACTTTTTATTACATGCTATTTGCTGCACAACATATTTTAAATAAGTAAGGTTATAAATATTTTATTGTGATTGTGCATATAAACACATAATATTATGTTATTTAAAAAATTTAAATTTCATAAAAAAATTAAAAACTATCTTATCTTTATTTTAAATATCTATGTGCTATCGCAACGATAATAATCTATACTCAGTCCAGCAAGAGGACACGCTGATTTTCCGCATCCTCCTGCGTCACTTTGGTATCAAAACCGGTTCCTCTATGGCTGGATTTTGCAGCATGAGTAGAAAAACCAATTTTGGTCTGCCCACAGCTTATTCTCTTGTTGGACAAAGTATATTTCTATCAAGATTCACATTAAACTACAATTTAGTTTCAATAATATTCGCACAATTCACAAATATAATATAGACAATATGGTTTTTAAATCATAAGTCAAATGAAAATGTTGATAATAGGTGTTTCATGTCATCTGTTAAAAATAATCTATTTGTACTACAAAATTGTTTTCAGGTCGTTTGTGAATTCTTAAAAATAATTGTTTCCAAGCTACACGAAGACTGTTCGTTGGCTTTAAATGTGATTATTGAAATTCTTATGATTGGATTTAGAAAATCCCCACAACCTGCAGGCATGATACTTTTCAAAGAAGTAATTTAGCTATTGATTAAACCTAAACTGGATAATAATTATATTCACTTCTGATATCAATCATTGTTTATTTTAGATAGTAATTATGTTTGGGCGACAAGAGACATATATTCCACTAATTAAATCTACATATGAAGAAATTTGTATGAGAGTAAAATGTATGTTTGAACAAGTATCTCCTGCTGATCAAGTTAGTCTTGGTGATGTAATGGAGTCTTATTTATCTCTTCAAGGACATATATTCAGAAAATGGCCATTTATTGCCGTGGATAATCCGAATGTAGATTTTACATTTGTTTTCAAACTAGGTATTAATTTAATAATTAAACAATTTAAATTTGTTACGGCAATATATTTTTTATTTTTTATCTGAAGCATCTGAAGCATTATGTGCAAACGAGATATTTCTAGCAAAAACAGCAACATTCTTTTTGACCGCATTTATAAGTACAAGCAGGGAAAAAAGATCTTTATTCAAAGTTATAGAAGATAATGGTCAATTCCTTGTTATGAAAATAATATGTATTATTAGTAAGTTGTTGTTAGTAAAAATATATAAATTTAATATTAAGTTAATTTTCATGATTTATGTATAGAAGGTGACGTAGTAAAAACAAATTTGGATATTATGTGTGAAGTTTTGTTAATGTTAAATAAAAAGTACAGTGAACATTTAAGAAGATGGTTTCACGACATAGTAACAGTACAAAATATTGTTTTACCAAATGTTACGGAAGATATGAAATCCAAATTTTTCAAACGTGTACTTAAGTTAGTAGAATGACTATTATTATGTTTTTAATAATAATTAGACAGTTTACAGTTACTATAATATTATTCATTTTTTTGTTTTTTAGAGAAAAAAGTAACAAAAAAGCTTTACAAGGCGCAGTCAGAGAATTTTCATTTATATGTCGAGGTTTAATTCAAATAGATCCTTAAACAGAATCATAAATAGATATACTCAATTCATTAAAAGGTAATTTTATTATTATAAATACATGAAATTATTTAGCGTATGCTTCGTCATCTGATGATGATATATTGGCTAGATCTTCTATTTCTTCATGTTCTTTGCCACTTTCTATGCCAGCAAAGTTTTCAAGTAATTCTCGTTTTTTATAATCGAGTATTAGATTTTGAATATCTTGATCACTTGGAACAGGTGGTGGATGAATATAACGTGAACTACTAAACATAGTTGAAATATCTTCATCGTCACTGTCAACTTCTTCAAAAGCCTGGTATAGAATAATTGAAACAAAATATCAAACTATGCTCGAATACCGAAATAATTATAGTTTTTGCTTACCAAATCCATTTCATCACGAATTGTTGCCTTTTGACCCAAAGCTTCTAACACTATTAAAGTAAAAAAACAAATTATCAGTTGATTGTTAACCTAATAGTTTTAAGTTTTAAACATACTCAATTTTTCTTTCTTTGTTTCCATGGCCAATAGAAGACCATCTTCCTCATCCATATATCCATAATAATCAGCATCTATATTTTTCATAAGTTCTGCTCTAGTACGACGTGGAGGTGGAGGAGGTTCGTGTTCAAATAGTTCTCGAACACCTGGTAAATCCTTAGCAGCTCCAAAGTATTTATAACCTCTGTTACCAGGTACTTCTCTGCCTTCATGATCAAGCATTCGTGGTCCCATACGTAAGAAATCAGGACCACCGAGTTCACGAATTTGATATTCCCAATGTTTTTTTTCCCTCAGTAATTTATTAATTTCATCATTGAGATCACGTAACCTAAACTCTCCCAATCCAGCTAAAATTAAATAAATTGTAAATAGGTATACATTCAGTAATGAATGGTAAAAATGTGTACCGTTTTGTATTTGTGCGACTTTTTTTGATATTTCTCTTATGATTTGAACTCTCCATTTTTCAGCTGCCTTCAAGTCTGTACATTCAGTAGCCAAGTATGGCCGCCGTTCTTCTTTGCCACCATGTTCCTTCACCTGTGCAGCTCTCCACCGAGCCAATGTAGTCCTATGTTTAGCATTAATACAATTAATTAAGGGTATATTATGTAAATATTAAATTTTTTGGCTAGACCTATACTCTTTATCAATATTAAATTGTTTTCTGTGATCCATTTTTTTTTTTTCATTAACGTTTTTGCCATCATATGCGTGTTTTAAAAATATTGTACATACATATTAATTAAATTAGGTATATTATACCATTTACAACCTTATGATTTGTTTTATTTCAAAAAAAGAAATCTAGTCATGAATTCAAATTGTAAAAAAACTCACATTGCTTTTTCCGCGTTCCTGGCCATGGCTGATGTACGGCTCTTGACGTTTAATTACACAAATACGTCAAATGACAATCACTAAGTATTCAATGGCATGACCAAATATTTACGCACCTTACAGTGCTGGAAGTTTAAAACTATGTACTTGGAAGAACTGAGAACTACAGAATTACAAATATTATCTATTAGTCGTGAGAACTAAGAAGATATCTTCTTTAAAACAATTATATTTTATCAGAACTTGCGTTCAGTGCACCAATTATATTGGCAACACTGGATGGATGAGATTCTACGGGAATCATGATGTAGTTAATATTCCATTTACGATATAAGCAGTGTCACCATACACAACATTCGCGGCAAAATTGAACCGAAAGAAGAAAGGACATGTGCATTGTGCTTATTATAGTGCATATTATTATTTATTTTGTTCAGCTGTAGCAGGCCTGCGCCTATTGTCTATATCATAATATGTAAAATATAATTTATAGGATCAAGTACTCTAAATTATAATATGCTTATGTTGTAGTGTTGTACTATTTTATATTTGTAAACAGTAAATGTTTTACTGTATTACTATTGAGTAATTGAGTAGAGTGGTCTGTAGTCTGTACATCGTTCCACACCTGCTGTTGCCTAAAATAAATATTAACTAGTAAATACTAAAGGTATAGAAATTAACACGGAAACTTAAGAGTTTGAAGTGTTTAAACGAATGACGATTACATAATTTTTTTTTATGCATTCAGTTTGTTTCACTTATGATGGGAATTGCACACGTGCCCCGAATATAAAACATTTGCGACACATTGACAAAATATTATTTTAATATATTCAGTGTTTACGTAGCCCAACTATATAATTATTTTATAAATGTTTTGTTTATAAAATTGTGTACGATGGCAAATTATTTTACGACGGATCACGTCCGAGGGTAAAAAAAAAGTCCTAAATCGCTGAATCGTTACTACTTAATAACAGTGTAATCAAGAATCAACCCATTCCCCACGGTAATGGCGGTAACAGTTGAACAATCAAACGCGCGTAGTGGAAAACGGCGGCGAAGCCGAGGTGTACAATATAGTAGCGGCTTCGACGGTGAACACCGGGCCGGCAGCGCGTGCGATGATTATCGACTTTTATTTGCCGGGCGCTGTTCCCGCACTCGGCGGAAGAGTCAACGGTGTTGCCAACCCACCGATCCGTCAGCCCGCGATGAATGGGACAGTTGGGTGGGAAGCGCGGTGGTCGCGGGAACCGCTGCCATTGGTCCGCCGGGGCCGGGTACTGAAAATGCGTTCTTTGTCCGGCACTTCAGCCGTATAACGTATTTACGCACAGCGCTCTCGCCGCCTTCGCCCACCGCTCCCCCGCGCCGGCCCGCCCACTGCAGTGTACGCGCACACACGAATGATCGTCGTTCCCGGTCGTTCCACACCTAGCGCGCCAATTTCTCGTCGTGTTTATGTTATTTTTGTTTTTTTTCTCTAGTTTTCACGACTTCACGTATCATTCGCGCTAGTCGACACGAACGCCGGTAATTGCTCGCAAAGCGTTTTGGGCTCGTTGCGACGTGAATAAATACCGTTGAGGTGCTTCAGTCGATCCTGTGACGACGTATACCGCGTAAAATATCTCCGTCGGCCACTATCTAGTATTTCATTTCATCGTATTGTTGTTATTGTAATTATTATCGGCGTTCTACCCCGTAATCACCAACCCCCACACAGCCGCCGCCGCCACCGACTACGCTGGACTTTACCACGACCACAGAGGGAACTGATAGAGAATCATCACGGCGGCCGAGATAGCGTACCGGTTTACTACGCACGGACACGTTAACGACATACAGGTGAGCAAATTTTTGGCGGCAACTTAAACGTCGTGATCCTACATTTCAAAAGCGCGTATTGCGTCGACGGGCCGTCGTCATTTTCGAAAACCGCACTTGTGCCTCGCCGAAAACATTGAACGCCGGTTGCCGGGTCCCGCCGGTAGATAAAAAATATTACAAGGTCAAGCCCGGGGTCCCGCCATAATGGATCGCGTAAGCCGATGGTGGTTGCCATGACGACGGCAGTGACGAGTAGTTCCATGTATAATTATTATTACTATAATCGTAATATTATTCGAATACGAAAAATAATAATAATAATACGGTGAGGTTTGAGCCTTTTTGTATGCCGTCATCGTTACACTGACATAATAATATTAGGATTTTATCGTAATACGTCTGTCTTCGTTTAGCGCGCGCGGCGTATATCGTGAGCGTGACCGCGGTGTCTACGGTCCCGGCCGACTAACCCCATCCTTTGTTGTTGTTGTTGTTATGTTGTTGCTGTTGTGTTGGGGTTTTAGTCGGTTCCGGAAACAAAACGAAAATAATAACACTTGACTATACACGTGCTCTCTCTCTCTCTGGCGTGGTGGTTGTTTCTATTAATTTTATGTTTTGTGAAATGGTACGTTTTGGTCCGAGTGATGCATAATGGTATTTATTTTTTACCGGTCGAAGGTTATAGCGTATGCCGCAATCGTGATAATTCACCGTCCAACGCGAGGGCGCTTCTCCTTTGTTATAGAAAGTGCACCCGACTACCTGTAGTCCGTACGAAATAGGTAGAATGTAGATGGTAGTATGCTGCTAGACGTACGTGTTCGAGCCTCAAGGTCCGCGGCACCCCCTCTCGCTTCATCTCTACTGGTTCGCTCCTCGTCCGTGGTTCCACCGTCTGCGCGCGGGAACGTTTTCCCTCCAAACGATCCACAAACCCGAGTCGTCTATGAATTGTGTGTTTTGTTATGATTATTTTTCACCCAAGGTTACCCAATGTTACTCTTTGTTGTTGTTTTGGTATGCAAAGGCGGTATCCCTTTCGATATTCCACTCTATTTCTACAAGTCATATCTCGTGCCTCCATTAATAGTATATTATGGTTTATTAATCGATTAGGAATTTCAATTTTCATTTTTTGTCACACACATGCTATTCAAATTATTTTGCCGCTATCGCAGAATTCGCCGGACCCGATAAAATCATATGTATGCTAACAATACACTGCATTGCTGCACACATTATTGCTGTTATTATTATTATTATTATTTATTGTTGCCGCTGTTGCTCTGGTATAGGTGCTATTATACAACGACCAACGCTGCGCCGCCTGCTCACGTCTACAGTTTTACACACGTAATCGAGGGTTTTTTTTATTGCCAAATGTCAATTGAACTCTCTCAGTTACTGGGTTATGTTTGTTTAGTTCGTTACGAGTACAGTTTTGTAGCAGACTCGTTAAGTTATAATATGAAATTATTCATCGGTCGATAGTATTTTTAATAATTTTATATTATAATGAGTAATGACGATAACATTAGGTACATTCTATACGCCTGGTGCACGTTTTGATAGTAATATTATATTCCTTATAAAGTAGTTACAACTAAAATAATATACTAATGATTACGTGCGTTTTATGTAAAGTTGTAATAATCATTGATGCGATCGTGTCTCGAGTAGTTTTTGATCTATGAATGAACACCGCCAGATTTCCCCGTCGTTGTTTTATCATTAAATTAAAACATTCCGTGATAATGACGGCGATAAGATTTTTTAATTGCACGAGGCTCAACTTCAGTACATACGTGTGTACTCGCATCGTTTGAGATGCGCTATTTTAATATTTTAAGGAAAGAAGTCTATCATTATTTGACGTATTTCCGATCGATCGTATGTTATAATTGATAAATAAACCCGTGGACAGATATATTATTATGTATTATACCCATGGCTCAGTAATAGTCGTAGAATTTAGTATTAGGATTTTGGACGACTGGCTTTGGATAATATTTTAATAATTATATTTATCTATTAATCTGTACTATACATTATGTACTCCATTTAACCTTTTTATATAAGTAATTTACTTGTAAAAGAGTAATAGTGGATGACCATGCCGTGCCAGCGTAATAAAAGTCCATAAATACTCAAAACTGGTCGACAGATGTTTATTCCTTTAGCAATTATTGCTTTTATTTTAGACGGAATAGTTCAGTAGCAATATGCTTGGAGTTGGTCTTTGGGAATAGGGAATTTATTTTATTGTTTTATATAATCTAATATAAGTTAATATAAGGGTTAATATATAAAGCTTAATTTAAAAAAAAATCTTAGTTCTTGGAATATTATATTAATCATGAATGTACGCCTTAAATTATTTATGGCTGAAAGCATAATTTCAAGTACGTTTTTAGAACAAACATATGTCGTATTTTAGCAAGGGCTTACCGTCCCCCTTTTTCAAACACGAGTTTATTATTGATTTTTAGTATTAATACGTGGCGCCATCTTCTGGCTGTAAATACGTCTACTTAAAATAACTGTCAAATGATTTGAACACATTTTTTTGAATTGAATTTTAGTATAGGAATTTACTTATAAATTCATTATTCAAAATCTGTACATTAATTTCCGCTATTGATTTAATATTAACTTGAAACAATATTTTAATTAGTATCTACTATTTTTAAAATGTTCTAATTTCATTTTGTTTTCAGATATATCAATTAAACAAACACCATGGATCTTGGAACATTAGATAGTCTTACTTTCTATCAAGACTGTATAGACTTTGACATGAAAAGTGATTATGATCGTGTGTTATCAAATAGTAGTTTCAACTATGATGATTCATTGTCGTTGAATGATGACAACATGATGTCTATGATGGATCCGCTCAATTCTGGATTATGGCTCAATTCTGATTCAGATTATCACCATCATCTAGACTTCATGGAAGGCGATTTAGAATCGGCTATCATGGTTAACCCTAATTCTGTAATACCATCATCTGCAGCAGCTGCAGAAATCAAACTTAAAGAAGAACCAGTTGATCCAATTGAACCAATTTTACCAAAAACTACCGTGCCTTTTATTATTAAAAAAGAGTCAGTGGATCCTCAAGAACCTATGTTTAAGTTCCCCGAAATTATTCCAGATTGTATAAATATAAAATCTGAGAAATTGCCATTAGAAATAACCAAAGTGGAAGAACTCAAACCTATAACAAAAGCTATTAGGCTATCTGATTTGTTGAGTCAAACATCAAGTACTGGACACCAGAAGACTGAATTAATGACTGTACGTGTAACAATGCCATCAGCCTTGCCCACCCTAAAGACAACTGTAACTACTAGGACAGTTCCTATTTCTTTTGTTAACAATACCTTTCCTGGGCATTACAAAATTGTTAGGCCTAAGCAACAAATAAAACCGATTCAATCAAGAATCAATGGGAACAAAACTAATGAAAATATGGGCCTTTATCCAAGACCTACTTATTCCTACTCATGCTTAATTGCAATGGCATTAAAAAACTCAAGCTCTGGATCTTTACCTGTTTCAGAAATTTACAATTTTATGTGGTAAGAATTTAAACTTGTGAATTTAAACAATTTAATAATATGTTTTAGCAATTAATCATTTGAAAATATTGTATGTTTTTTTCAGCAAACATTTTCCGTATTTTAAGACTGCCAGTAGTGGATGGAAAAACTCTGTTCGTCACAACCTTAGTTTGAATAAGTGTTTTGAAAAGATTGAAAAACCAATTGGTAGTACAGGTGCACCAAGGAAAGGATGTTTGTGGACGATGAATCCAAGCAAAATATCAAAAATGGATGATGAGATGCAAAAGTGGTCGCGTAAGGATCCTTCTGCTATTAGGAGATCAATGCTCAACCCTGGTAAGTTACAAACAAAACTAAATAACTTAATTATACTATGAATAATTATAAAATGTTTAGAACATTTGGATTTACTTGAACGTGGTGAGATGAATGAATGTTATGATCGGCGTGACAGTTATTACTTTGATGATGAAGAAGAGGAGGAAGAAGAAATAATCAGCCGAGAAATGACATCAGAAGAAGACGACAGAATCAGTGATGTTGAAGAAGAATCTGATAATGAGTCAAGGGTTGATAAGGATGATTCGCCATATCAGCTAATAACATTTGGCTTAGATGATTTAGCTAACCTTAATGACCTCGGCAATGATGTAAGTTATTTAATTTTTTTTCACAAATTTCAATACTGATAAAAAATCAATTATATAATAATTTCAGATTGATGATGATGAAGAAATTGAAGAGAGTTCAAATGATGGCAGTTTCGGCATAGAAGCTTCAGAGTACAAAACAAACTTTGACGATTTGATATCTGTTCAAGATATGCCTATGACATATGTAGTTCAGCCCCAAAATAAGACTGTAATCAATAATAAACGGCCGTATCAACAACCTTTATACAAGGGTAGTTATGTGTTGACTAAAAATGTTACATCAAGTGTACAAAGCCCAAAGCGAAAATTCATCAGTAGGCCTGTATCAATATTAAGAAATTTTTAATATGAATACTTGATGTAATACAAGAATAACGTGTGGGTCTCGATTAATTGCAATATTGGTAAAATGCATAATTTGCTGGTATCCCTAATTAATATTTTACTCGTGTTAATATAATTTTGGTACCTTTGAGTCTGAAAAGTCAAATTATAATGAATTACATATCATGCGTGTTATGTAATATAAATTGATACCATTTTATTTTATGATGATTTTTGTGATTATTGCTAACAGTAAAAACCATGTATATACTTTTTATTTGTATGTGTACTGTATATAGAATTTTAGACTGCTAAATTTAGTTCCCAATAGTCAATTACTAGCAATTACTTCTTTAACATCTTTATTTTAATTCATAATATAAATTTTCAAAGAAATAGAACTACTGTGCTTATATTTTTCCAAGGAAGTTTAAAAATCATATTCAATTAATGTATATAATAATGAAGACAAGTTAAACTTATTTCTTCATAAAAAAATAATAATTATGATTACTATTTTGTTCTATTTTATCAATTTGTTTCTTTTTTAATAGCTTAAACTAACTACTCAATATTATTTACATAAGTATGTATGTATTTTTGTATAATATGTATTTGAATTTGATGGTCTTTTTATAGTTTAAATAAACTGTTAAAACATAACTAAATTGTAATCTTATATTATTAGTTACAACAAATTATTATATTAATTGTAAAACTATCAACTATTTGATTTTTATACTTCCTTATAGTAAATATAAATATATATTTTTTTATTTCGTTTAAAATGCAGCTGCAATGTAATAATTTTGTGATTAGTATTTTAACATTGAAATAAAATACCAGTCAATAAAATTTTATTTCAATTGTGTACAATATTTTTCCATTATGATTTAAATAAATGTTTTATGTAATCGGAATAATTTAAAATACTAATAACATCATTATTACCATGATAATAATTTACAATTTGTTAAGATTGACTTTTCAGACTCATAAATTGTTTTTTTAATGAACCATTTTGATGCATTATTTTACCATTCAACATATTAACTAAATCTAAAAATTAAGGTTGGGATTATCAGTTCAGCTAAATATATGCATAGAATTAATTTACTAAAATAAATATAAAATATTTTTGACCACATCCTTAGGTGGGATTTATATTTATTTTCAGCGAAATTAAATCTACCAATATTTGGTATGAATTAGCTGAAAATGTTTGTTATTTTAATTACATTTTGTATGATATGGGTTTGATGTTTGTCGTTGTATACCTTCAGTTCACTATTTATAATAATACAGATGTGGAATTACATTGTAATTCTTTTTATATAAAAGATTTCGTCTAATATATCCTACTGTATTGCATCCTGTTTTAGTAAAAAGAACATGCCTATTTTGACTACCAATACATATATTATGTGTTTTTCTATCAATATATAATTTTTGTATCTTTTTTTTATATATATATATAAAATGTACTGTAATATTTGGTAAGCTAACTAAGGATTAAGTTAACCATAGAAGACATTTGATTTTTTTTAGCAAATAAGTAATTTATAGACACAAAATGTCAATAAAATAAGCATTATAGTTAATTATAACATATTTGTAAGTGATTAGGTATAATATAGTAGTTTTTTGAGTGTCAGGATTATTGTAGTGTTGTACATATATATGAAAAGTCTGCAACCATCGGTCAGGTGTGTACCAGAGTTCAAATTGCATTTATATTGTTTGATTTATTTATGAATATATATATTATATATATGTATATATTTGTACTTTTTCCTGCTTAATATTTCATCTGTCCGATGGGTCAATTTTATTTAAAATAAATGTCATACATTTTAAATGGTATTTTATTTCATTTTGTAATAATTTATAAACATCCTAAATCTATATATCATTAATTCATAGTACAAATTTAATTCTTGGCATATCCTGTCACTTTTTAAAATATTTTAGATACTTAGTCCTGTCAAATGAATCATCCAATTCCTCTACTATTTTGACTTTTTGTTTTGGCCTTCTTGCTTCAATTCTACGTCTGCGTTCTTCCTCACTAATTAAGTTCATATCTAGAGGTAACTAAAATCAAAAAATTCAAATTAGTTGTAAAATAAATATATTTTCAAACATAATATTCACTTTTATAATCATTCGAGGATCATTGAATCTAATGGTAAAACTTGAACCATCTGGTTGAATTATTTTTGTTAGGTAGTGTTGTGGATAAATGTTTCGATGAATTTTGGTAATAGCGGCTGACTTACTACTAAAAAAGCGAACAGATCTAAACAAAAAATCTTAAGTTATATAAAAAAAAATCAATGAAAAATGTGGGTTTTATATTAAAATGATAAAATTAATATGAACCGATAGTGTTTATTTTAACACTTCTATTGAAACAAAATATTAATACCACAACTGTTTTAATATTATTTTTAAGCCACCTGAAAAGCTGTTGACATTACAAAATTTTGGAAAATAGAACGGTTCCACTCAGTTAATATACCTTTTAAAGTTCCAATATACATAACATATTTGTAGTAGCGAGTGACCATGTACCTAAATTTACCCACATAGAATACGGTCTAATAATTTGGCTTTACTATGTTTAAATAAAATATTTTTTACAAATTTGAAAGTAATCAATAATAATGTGCCTATACATCTATCCTATTTGTAAAAATCTTTATGTTTGCTAGTGTTCTTACAATAGACTAATTACGGGATGTAGGCACAAGGTAGCATTGAAAAAAAATTAGTGGTGAATCCCCGCGGGAGAAAAAAATGTATTTGTGGTATCAATCGAAAAGATGTAAGATAATGCCTAAAGATTTTGGTTTGCACACAAGCCTAAACATCATGACTAAACGTGTATCATAAATATAGTCATTCTCTTAATGCCTGATACAATTTTTTTCAGGTATCCGCCCGACCTAAAGACTCACCACTGCAAATTGAAAGTTTATATTTTGAACAAAACATCAGAATACTACAAAAAACACTTAAACCAGAAATCTACAATGTTAAGACTGTGATTAGGTATTTACCAATTAAATTGTAAATGTAATGGAAGCACCATAATTGTATATAAGTCAATAGGACTGTTGAATGTATAACAAAATATTAAGAAATTGAATTGGAAATATGCCTTTTATACTTGTGTGCAGACTTCCATAGTGATTGTTGGAGTTTTAAAGGTAAATCGGTAACTACAAGTATTAATTACTATTTAGTTTAATTTATTACTATCAATTTTGAAACTTTATTTTATCATACAATGACATTTGGGTTCATACTCTTAGTAGTTCAGTTATAAAAGATGTGTTTTTCCTCTAAGTAGGTATCATAATATTTAAAGTCAATAATTTATAATATTATGTAGTTCTATACTATATTCAGTATATACTGTAACATTTACTATTTGATAAATATTTACCTGGCAATGTTGAGCATAATTTTTTAATTTCCTGCACCCGTGCTCGTACCCAACAAAGACTTCAAGTATAAAAATAATATGGCCTGTGGTGTATACTATAATCTGAGTTCCGCTGAATTCTAGCTACAGATATAAAATATGTTGTGTTTCATATTAATTGTTCTTCTAAAGGCACGTTTTCATAGATAATAAAAAGATATTATATCTATTATCTATGCACGTTCTTATGGTCAGAACAGTCAGAAAGCCAGTGATAAGCACTTGTTCAAAAAATGATAAGGAAGCAGTGGTGTACCCAGGATTTTTTAATAGTATGGGGGGGGGGGTCTAAACAAAGTAAATAAAAATTTGATATAGGTACCTTATGTCCTTATACTAGGTTGTTATTAGGTACTATATAAATCCCGTAACCGTAATAACCTCTACAGCTGCAGTGGTGCTCAACCCGTTATAAATTTTCGAAAATTTTTTAAATTATTTATTTTCATATATTATTTTTTTAATAAAACTAAAAACTATACAAAAATGTTTTACTCTTATTTTTAATGTGAAATTTGAGTTTGTACTTCTATAACAAAAATAATGAAAAATCTGGTTGAAATTTAGTGGCTCCATTCCAATCCTCAAAATTGAATGAAGATGTTCACCCGTAAGCCGCGATCTATGAACTGAGTTAGTTTGTTTCATTCGTGAAAATATTTTTTCGCATATATTTGTCGAGCCAAATACAATAGCCATTTTCATTATAAATTCTCTTAAAGCAGGGAAATCTTCGTTCCACACGAAGTTTTGAATAATATTTTAAAATATCATTTTTTTAAATTCATCACAGTAAAATGAATTTGTTTTCAACTCAATCGCTTCAAGTTGAAGAGAAGTGTCGACATCATTTCATCAATATCAAATGGATTTTCAAATAAACGCCACGATTTTCGTGTAATTTAACATCAGAAAATCAAGATGAAAAATCGGTTTTATACTTTGTGGCCCGCTTGAATATAATTGTTTACCAAAGTGGCCCGCCAAAGGAAAAAGGTTGGGCATCACTGCTGTAAATGAATTAGTGGATAATATTTTTGAAAATGTTGATATAGGTACCACATTCAAAATTCGAGTGAGTAGTTTACTAGTTTCTTACTCATTCTTAATGATTTAAATGTTTGTATTAAGGATAATAGTTTTGAAAACTGGTTTGATATTAGTATAAAATAGACGTAAAATTGAACCTAGTATTTAGTATACTTGAAACATTTTTTACAAATTATTAATATTTAATATCGATAGGTAGATTAATATTCAGAGGACGCTATACCCGCATGTGTTGTCTCCGTCTTACAAAAGCGTAATATATCAAATGTTATGTTCAACAAATCTTAAAAGAGCTTAAAAATTAGAGTGAATTGACCACTTATTAAAATTAAAGGTAAGATTATTACGGAGGGCTTCTCATGGGCTTTTTATTATATTTTAATTTTAAAGAGAGTTATGAGTATTAAAAAGTTGTGAATTGTTTGTACAACTTAAAATACTCATAACTCTCTTTAAAATTAATATATAATAAAAAGCCTATGAGAAGCCCTCCGTAATAAGCTTATCTTTAATTTTAATAAGAGGTCAATTCACTCTAATTTTTAAGCTAACAGACTACAGAGCTAAACATGATCTGCTGAACGAAAAATTTGATATGCGAGTATAGCGTTCTCTTAATGACTACAATTTTCAAATCACCATAGCCCCTATATCTGATGCATCTCTCTTGTTTAGCAATTAAATGCAACCATTTGATTTTGTTAGCCCGGCAGCTCGCGGACCCGATGATTTTGTGAGGACTGTAGAACTGTGCTACCTATATACCATCGTGTTCAGTGACTGAACGGGTAAGTATAAGATTCAAATAAAAATAAAAATAATGGCATTCATTTTGTTTAATATATAGATGACATATAGGTACAAGGTACATAGACACTAGATATATCGTTATAACAGCTAGTAGTTGAATAATATTAAAAATACATATACACGATTTAAAGTTCAAATGTTGACAATATTTGTCAAATTGAAAATTGAAAATGATTTTGCAGCTAAAAAATTATTAAATTTTAAATTTTTATAGTTAAGGATTGAAAATTTAAAACGAAGTTTCAATCTAACATATAGTTTTTCCAAAACTAAAAAATCTAAAAATATATAAATATAGTTACTTTTTACAGACAAGATCAAATTTGGATAAAAATTACATTTTAGCATAAAGAATAACGTTTGTAATTTTGTTGTAATTTGGTTCCAAAACAGCCCAATTTAAATAGGTATATTTAATATTTTTCCAACATCACTGATAATTAAAGAATAATATTATGAACCATATTAATTCAACTTACCGGCTACTGTATTAAATATTAATAATAAGTAACAACAATATAAAATATCCTAAAGTGACATACAGTCTCCGCTCAGAATCGTTTTTGAGTTTTTCGTATGCAATTATATCATATCATTGAATTCAAATTTAATACTATCTATTAAAGAGACCTCCTAGACACCTAATGTACAGCTAAACGACATCCACTTCCCCCCTTTTTTTAATTTTTGTTTTTATTAAAAAGTTAATTTAACTTATTTTCAACTTAAATAACTTTTCTGGTGGGAAAATTAATAGTTGTCGTTTAATCAGTAATTTTCAAAAGCGTCAGGGAAAATAAATTATATACTACAACGTGTACGAGTGTACATTTTAAAGAGAATCATCCTGTATAAAGTATAGAGTACTAAAAGTACTATATACATAATATATAACTTATTTATGATACCTAAGTGTAAGGCCCTTTTCCGACGCACGCCACTGATAAGAATTCATTATAATTATTATTTTATTAATGCATTCACATGTTGTGTCTCCACTAAATTGGTGTCACAGACGCGTTTACGTGGTCAATCCTCGCTAGAAATTGCAGGTGTCTCTTTTTGGCCAAAGTTATCAAAAAATATTGAACACAATAATTCTTCCCAAGTTTTATTTCCAAGTCGTTTATTAGAAATTTCATTTGACTCGGAATCGCATGTAGCTGGTCGTACCTAGTTGAACATTGTTAGTAAATTTATCTATGTTACTCGGACATTTCGAAAAAAAAAACGTATACAAATTAGCTACTTAATTAATAATTACTTTAAGAGGGCGGTGTACCCGTAATATTTAGCAGTAAAAATAATTCTACGAAAAACAAACGAAACGCAATTAAAAAATAGTTTTAGAGCAAAAATACCTATTGTAAAATATAGTACAGAGTACAAAGTATTTACATCGAAGAAACGATTATGTTCAAAGGTGAAAATATAATTGCATGATAATCTTGCAGCCTATTTATACTCTATACAGAAGCCTAAAAAATTCATGAATATTATATTTCTCGAACTTTCTACGAGCTGTAGCCTGCAGACAACAACACTGACAATCCACAAGCATAAATGGTTGCCTATAACTACTGTCTAATTATTAATTTGTAAAAACATAAATTACTTAATGTTTTACTTTTTTTCCAAAAGAACCAAATAATACTATATGCATTACGCAGTGGTGTAGCGTAAAACTTGGCGGCCTTTGGGAAGAAGAAACCATTTTTAACACAGAAATTAAACTATTAAATAGTGAGAGAGTGTGATTTTTTAAAAACTTTCTTTGGTGAAAATAGAACTGTTGTATAAACTATATATAGTTCTATGGATAGATGTTATAAAAGAGTTTGATCTACTATATGATATATGATAGATACTTTAATTGGATCTTCAAATAGACTAAAAAAGTGGCGCATATAGACTAATTTTAGACTATTATCAATTATCATAGACATCTACATTTAAATCACATGTATGTCTTACGTCTATGATGGATTATAGACGTCTAATATACGTTACAGTGTTTGCTGAGATACTTGCTATAAATACTTTGATTGTATGATCAACTGCGTTCAGAATTCAAACAAAATAATTGAATGCTTTAATTTTATTTTTTCATACATTTATGTATTTAATTTGTCTTTTTTCCTGACTACCACCCCATAGGGCATCCAATAACTTGAAACTACATTGTCGATTTTACGATTGGTGCCAGCAGGAGACATGACAATTTCCAACGGTATCTAGGTACCTTAGTACCTACTGGCTATGAGTACATTTTTCATCGACGGAGGGAAATGGAATTTACTCATCTAGTTGATAGTCGATATGAACCTAGGTTGTTTTGTAGAGATCATAATATTTGTATTTTTTCATTGGTTTCGTTGGATACAAGTTGTGTCAGATATATAAAGGGTGCATAGGAGCTATGATTAAATTGTAAATACCAACAAAAAAAAAACGGTGAACGTTATCGAAATAGATGTTAATTATTTTATTTCAAATTGAATATTCCAAAAAGTAATAACCCCACGAAGACTATACTTTTTCAGTTTATTTTAACTACAGTAGGTAGTATATGGTAGCCAGTATGGTTTATAATGTGTAGTATTATTCTGAGAATATTAAGAAAACCTATACTTATTTTTTAATTCTTTGTGATGCGGTTAAATACATGCTGCTGCTGGAACTTCTTTTACTGCCTCAATATGTTTACTATTTTACTAAGTTTACTAAAAAATATATTACTATAAAATCAATATATTATCCGTAGTTCGACTAGCTCCTGTCAAAAACTGATAGCATGATTTTAAAAATCAATAATAGGGAGTTAATAATTACCAGTTTCTTACCCATTTTAAAGCATTAATTTAATAGGTACAGACGTACAGTCAAACAATTTGTATGAGTAAAACGAATTTTAATAGAATAATAGAGTTCCAAATAATAGAAGCAACTAGTTCTTAGTTTCTTACCATAATTTAAAAATATTAAAATATATAGTTTTACTTAATTTATATTCGTTATACATTTTTTTGTTTTACTAAATCAATTTCATTTTTGGATATGATGTCGAAAAACAAATATCGTTAAACTACTCGAAAATTAAGAATAATGATCAATAAATTATACTTAGTTATATAAAATATGTACCACTTATACATTATGAAGAAATACAAGTAATTTGACATTTATTTTATGTGAAATCGTAATAGGTAAGTTAAATTCTTTTTAAAATATAATAATATTGGTGTTAGATTATTTTCTAATTCCTAGCAAGTGTCACTGGTGTCAGATACAAATCATCATTATACACCTCAAAGAAAAATAAGTAACATATTTGCATAATTTT